TTTTGGGCAAATGTAGATGTCTTTGTTTTGCATCCCTAGGACATATGAAACTATCACATTATTGCTTTGCCAACATGAAGAAAGAAAAAGTAAATGTAGAACAATTTAGAAAGGTACTGTTTTAACACTTTTTAAATACCCCCCTCAGCCTTCTTTGCAGATATAATTTACATTTAACACAATACTTTTGTTTACACCTGAAGATAAGAATACTTTTGGTTAAAAAAAACAATGCCATTGTTATGGTTTAGTCCCCCTCACCAGGAGGGTGAGGGAGAACTGGGGTTGGACTCAAGATGGCTGACCCAGGTGCTAGTACAAAAAAGGTGGTTTAATGGAATAAAAACAACATGACAACATAACAGGGTCCATAATACATACAAGGGAAGGGCAGTGATGACTAAGGAGACCATCTTTATAAACACACAAACTAATGACAGGAACTAGGATAGAGGATGAGAGCGGACAGGTGAACAAAAAGAACCAATGTAAACAATGCAATCCACAGCACAGAGACTGTCAGCGTGGAAGACAAAGCACGTATTTCTGTGTTGCTAACCGCATAATTAGCGTGATAAGGTCAAGCCAAAACGCACAGAGACTGTCAGCGTAGCATCTTACACACGTCTAAAAATATGCGGGTTAAACCTGTCTGATCCTTGAGTAACCATTGATCTAACAGTGGTAATAGTAACATAGTGGACTAATTAACAAAGAAAAACTGGCATACTGTACGTACTCAGTCAACGTTTACACCTACAAAAGCCTATGTAGTCCTACAGTTATAATGTTTAGAGAGGTGTTGATTCAATTGTATGGTCATTTTCAATGATGCAGTTTGTGCTCCGTACAGGCAACTGGCTGTTATTTAGCCTCCCCTCATTATGTTTACATATGGTGAACAAAGTAATAGGAACCAGTATAATGCAGTACAGTTTCAATGGAGTCACAAACTGTATTCTTGAAAATGACCACAGGCTTGAGTCAATACTTCTTTAAAGTTTCTAAGTAAACTAGACTCAAAGCCTCTTTCAGCAGTAGAGAACAATTGCTACACAAGGATCAACATAACATGTACTGTCAGGCTTGACTTGGTGCCTGAGTGTAGCGCCACAGCCATTGGTCACCTTACAAAACACCACCATGGAGCTTTGTAAAGTGACCAGAGTTTTCTATACTCTGACTCTGAATATATATATGCTGATGTCGATTTCTGTTTTGTGAGTGAATGAAAGAGAGGAAGGAAGCTGTTCATGAAAGGTCCTCAGTCAGCCTTCCTTCTCAGTTTTCAGTCCTCTTAAAGAAACACCTTGACATTAGCATTTGTAATTTTCATTGAATCAATGTGTTTTTTCCAAAGACTGAAAACAGTAGCTACAAAGTTTAAAAAAGACATTTACATTTTGTTTAATAGCTGTAAGTGGAGAGTCAAGTCACAATTCAAGCATGTTCAAGAACACTGGCAGAATCCAAACACAGAATGTCTTACAGCTCGCTGACCAGAAGGCTCATGACCTTCAATAATTCATGTAGTTTTACAGTTAAGTGCTATTTTCTTTAGGGTCACATAATAAGCCACACCACTTTCCAACCCTAAGTTAAAATACAGACATTAGCTGGGACACTATTCTCCCTAACCAATCATACCATGCACATATCAGAAGATTTCTCCACCCTGACCTCAATACAAAGCATCCCCGAATCCTCACCCAAGCAAAGAGCAGACGACAGATATACTCCACACTGTATTTGTTTGGGTTGTACAGTGGCTGGCCCAAAAGGCTTGGCACACAATCACAGCTGAGAGCCAGACCCTCTTAACTGTTCAACCAAGACTGTGAATCAGAAGTAAACTATACCAGTAACGACCCCTCTAATGAATAATAATAAATAATTGTGGGATAGATAACCTAAAAGGAAAGGACAAAACTGTTATTTAGTTGTGTTCTAAATTTTTCTAAAGGATGTTGACTATTAGTTGTAATCGAATACTGCACTCTTCTGTCTTCCACCTCACCAACCTGTAAAAATCAACAAGATCAGAATAAGTGATGCATAAGTATAACATTTCTTAAAAAAAAAAGACCATTTCATAATATTGACATGGAAATCACATTTATCAGTGCAGGTCTTCAGATGCAAAATCTGGTTCAAGAATAACATTAAGTTAGAAGTAAATGTCTTTTATATCATCCTCTTTATTAAACAAAAGACGAGAGAAATGAGGAGCTGCAGCTAAAACTCGCCATATCTTTCACCGTTTAAAGATGAAAAATCATGCCAGCTACTTTTGGCATTTTAAGAAATTATGACAGTTGTGTCATTCTTTACGTCTTTGAGAAGTGTGAGGTATAAAGTTTAGCTTTAAACTAACAGAATACAGAAACCTGGTAAATTGTCTTAGATAGAGGAATTTTTTAATCAAGAATGTTTCAAGTCGACTTGGATTTGATCCTGGGAACAACAGCAAGTCCCATCGCGCTTCACATGTTTTGTCTCAATGCAGACGAAAACACCAGCCAGCAGTCGTGTACAGATGCTTCATGAAGAAAAGACTGCTGTAGATTTTGGCTTGGGAAGCCAGACACCGTCTGAGCTGCAGTCACGATTTGGAGGTTGTAGAAGTACGTCTGGAATCCTCCACGTAGTCATGATGGAGACGATCGCTTTCAGCCAGCCCGGGTTCGGAGACGCTTTTGGTTTCACGCCTCAACAAACCTGCGCAGGCTCCATCTGTCTGATCGCTTTGGCTCGTGTCAGTCTCATGGCGTTTATACGACCAAATTCTCACATATGAACATTTTATTATCTAGCTCATTAAAATTTAAGATGCTTTTCTGGGAATGGCCTAAATAAAAACGCCTATACCTTTTCATATTCTGATCTAGATTATTACTCTTGCTCAAAACTGTTGGTGACGTTGGTAAAACTGTTCTACTCCGGTGATAAAGTGCAATTAAACATTTGGTGAGTTTTCTTTAGTTGACTGAAATGGTAAGGGACCGAATTAACTAGAAGAAAACAAACGAGTCACATCCCTTCCCCACGCAGTTGGAAAAAAGATGCTCTTCTTGATTTAGCTTTTCTGTGCGTCTTTCAACAAAGCATCACTGCGCTCACAGCTTGCACAGATGGATACCCACGCTGAAACCAAGACAAAAAGGGTCCCAACTGAAACATCTCTTGGACCTTTTTCCTTGCATCTCAAAGTGCTCGTTCCCAGGCTGGGCTTGATGGCAGTTATTTGGGCCCCCACGGGGGCCTACTCTTTTATAACAAGAGGGTTGAAAATCCGCAAGCTATGCGGCAAGGTAGAACTGCACCTGAAGTGCCTTTCCCAACTAAATAAACTGAATTGATATTTCATGATGATAGTCATCTTCCCACTCTTTATCATTATGGTTGGGGGTGCTACAAAGAACAATTCCGTGTGCGTAAAGCCGGTTATTTGCCTCTGAAATATGTTGCAGGACAAAACGACCTATAACTGAATTTTGTTTATATATCTGTGATTGCACATTTGATTTCATTGTTTTCCATATAAACACTATACCTTTTATTTATAAACAAATTATGCTTTATTTGATATCTTTTTCTGTAAAATCTTCCTCAGTCTCCTTTGATTTGTATTGGGACAGTGCTGCTGCACCGTTAGTGTTTAAGCACGGTGACCCAGCCTTCCGCCCTCCACAAAGACGAAGAAGGAAAGAAAAAACGTTGAAGCACATCGATGGTGAGAGGGCACAGAACAACACACAGGGCTGCGATGCCGATGGGAGCAGCAGTAGAGTGGCGCAGGGGTGGGAGATGGGGAAGAGGGAGCGGGTGTGGTGTGTAGAAACTGAAGATGAGAAGGGGGCGGGTTTCCCATCTGTTGCGCAGCCGTGGCGCGTGCCGAGCGCGTGAATCCTACCTGCAGCTCAGCTCTCTTTGGTTTAATGGCCAACGGCAGAGGTTGATTGAAACTTATGGAAGATGTTGAAATCAAATGTTTTTGATTTGTGATTGTACTATCTACGACATTTTATTTGCTTACAGAAACAATGGGAGTGTCAGTTCAAAAGACGTCCGGGCTTTATGGGCGCATTCCTCTTTCCTCACTGTGTTATTATCCATGCAGTATTAAAGCAGACTTGTTGCATGGCTCTTTGTAAACACGTTTCTGTTCAGTTTCCGCAGATGCGTGCACGTCTCTGCGTGAGTTGCAGGATGTCACTCAGTCTCCTCCCCCACAGCTCCAGGTAAATGCAGTATTGTTGAAATAGGAAACAAGCTGCTGAGGGTCCATAGATGTTATTCTACACATGGCGTGGCTTGGGTATCTGGGTTATTAATTTTAGGAATAGATTAGTCCTGTCACCTCAGAATCACTTATCTGGTTTTGTTTCTTTTGTTGTGGTGGAAAGACAAGTCAAATCCATAAGCATTAATACACAGACTGAATTTGTGCATTTCATTCTTTTTTCTACCTTTTTCCTGCAACTTGAAAATGTGTCACGAGACAAAAATGATATTTTCCTGATTTGATTATTAATTTGTGTGAATTTTGCAATGCAAAACGGCACAGAATAATAGAGATGATTTAAAGATTTAAGAAGTGAATAAAAAGCAAGGCAAAAAAGAAGCAATTACAAGAGCTGGTCTTTAGTATGGGAATCTGTTAAAGAACAACATTGGTATCTTGAGTGGATCTTGGAAGAAAGTTAAAGGTTTAGAATATAAATGCAATAAAGCGCAACATCGTTATGAAACTCCGCAACACCAGCGGCGGACACAGCGACCCACTGGGACCAGATGGTCCAGATAGGAGGTCTACTCCCACGGGCATCGCCCCCCGTCCCCTCATATCAAAACCCCAGCTCAATGGCTTGTGTTCCCTCCCCTCCGACGCGCCGGACCCACATAAATAGGAGGCTGTCCAGCTCTGCCTCACACTTCAGCTCTCTCGCTTCAAGAGAAAGTATCTCCCTTCCAAAGCACAACAACAAGCAGCAAACGAAATGAGTCCCAGCATCACCGCTGAGGCCAGCCAGCCTCTCCCTGCCAGGTCCACCGTGGCCCAAAGAAAACAAGCCAACGAGCTAAGAAAGGTAAGAAAAAGACCGGAAATGTTTATTTGACTGGAAATGTTTTCGAGTGGACTCTTTCAAAAGTGCAGCTGAATAACGGTTTTCCATTATTTCGTCTAGACCCTGAAACCCTTGTTGGAGAAGAAAAGACGTGCTCGTATTAATGACAGTCTCAGTCATCTGAAGAGTCTGATTTTGCCTCTTGTTGGCAAAGACAACGCGCGCTACTCCAAGCTGGAGAAAGCTGATATTCTGGAAATGACCGTACGGTTCCTCAGAGACCTGCCTTCCACTCCAGCCAAAGGTGAGTTACCTCTTGAATTACGATGTGAATTAAACAAAATGTCAAATTTCAGATATGCCTCCCATGTAATTACATCGACTGATAATGTCTTTTCTCTGCTTCCCCCAGACTCCGCGGACAGCTACAGAGAAGGCTACAAAGCCTGCCTCCAACGCGTCTCCGCTCTGCTTCCCAAAACAAGCATGGATCAAGACACGTGCCAGCGGATGAACAACTTCGTCCAGCAGTCCATGTCCGCAAACGTCACCCCAGCCTGCCTGAACTGCTGCGCTCACAGCTCCAGGACCTTCCCTCAGTTCCAACAGAGACTCCTGAGCTTCAAATCCAGCTTCAGCTCCAGACTGGAAAGCCATTCCCGAAGCAGCGAAGGCGCAATGGCTCCAGGCGGAGCGCAGCCGGACCCGCAGCCAGTCGGCGCTGCTATGTGGAGACCTTGGTAGATTAGAGTGCCATTTAGTTTATGTGTCTTATTTATTTTATGATGTTAATTGTATTCAAATAACTGTAGTCTAGGCGATTAAGAAGAAGAATGGTTGAAGTTACCAATTTAATTCATAACTTTGCTCAATTTGCATTTAATGCCAAAAGGAACAGGAGCACAGATCTCTAAGAAAAAGTGTATGAACTTTTTTAAAAATGCAATCCTCTTTGGGGTGTCAGAGACATGGGTTGTAGACAACACTTTGTAAAACCCCAGGGGTTATTTTGTGTGAGGTTTGCACGACGGGCTTAAAAGTATTTTGGTCTGTGCAACAGAATAGTCTGTAAACACTATGTGTTGAATGGGTTGATATATTATCCACTAATGGCATGTGAGAGAAAAACATGTTTTGTGTAACAGTGTTTCGTTATTGATAAATAAAAATAAATGTACACGTCGAATATAGTGTTGTGTCGTCGTTATATTTTGCAGTGGTATAAATGATTCACACTTGTCTTTAAGGCCAGATGTCTTAAAAATGAGAGGAAACTCTTGGTGTGAAAGGAACAAAAAAGGCGCGCAAACGCATAAAGCTGCACGTCAGCCTGCTGATGAGCAGCTGCTCTATTGTTGCTGATGTGAGGCGCCTCAGTTGTAGTCAAACTGGTGGCAAGACGTTAGACTGGTTGTGATGGGACACAGTCTGAGATGGCTTCAGTTATTACAGTGACAGATGTGACACACCTTTTCTTGGTATTTTACAATAATGTTACTTTTCCCAATAAATAATTAGTTATCCCTGTCATCTGTCACGCTGCAGTCTCATACATTTGTAGACCTAGTTACTGTACTATCCCGAATTTCCCACTTTTACTAAACAACAGTGTTTTTTGTCTCTCCTGTATCATCCTCTATCTGAACATAAAGGATTCTACAGCCTGTAGTTGCAGCTTCATTTTCAATAAAAAGACTTTTCTGTCTTTCACCCTTTATATTTGCTATAGATCTTTCTAGATAAGTCATATTCGGTGGGACATTCTAGTATGAAGTCATGGGTATGCTGTTTAATAACCAAATAATTCTTCAGGATGCAGAATAAAAGCTGTTCACTATTCAAACTGTTCTGCTAGAGGTAGCCACCACCTTTGGAAGCTTTTATTTTATTTATTATAATAATAATAAGTAATAATAATCAATATTATTACTACTTAATGTTTCATGTCCCTTATTGTCTTTCAACATTGAACACATGACCTTTAGACAGACCCTTTAATGAAACGTGAAACAAAACAAAGCAGTTTTAATTCAATGCAAATATAAGATATCTTACAAAATACTTGTTAACTAAATTACCAAATTTAACTTATTGCTTTAGGTTGGCTAGCAGCTTAGTTGAGAGCAATGGCTTCCCCCTCTTCCTCTCCTTCTTTCTCTTGTTTGGAGTGTTGCATGTTCATTTATTCCTCTGCCTCCTTTAGTGATAATGGTACTTGAAATAAATGTCAGATGCTAGCAGCACTGGAGGTGAGGCTTACCAAATTGGAATCTATCCAGCTTCTCTCCTGTGAAACCAGCTCCCAGTCTCAGGTCGGCAGGCAGACACCCTCTTTACCTTTAAGATTTGACTTAAGACTTTCCTTTTTGATAAAGCTTATAGTTAGAGCTGGCTCAGGTGACCCTGGGCCTTCCTTTAGTTATGCTGTTATAGACTTAGGCTGCTGGGGCCTGCTAGTAAGAAGCAGTCCCTCACGCTGCCACTACCATGCACGCATACATCACATCACCCATTTGCCTTCTAGCTAGACGTAATTAAGATGGTATGAGTTTTCTTTAAGGATGTTCTCTTGACCTCTTTCCCAGTTGCAACTGGTTCAACATCCAGCCATCTATTGTTGTATGCACAGTCTTTCCATGTCAGCCTTTCTCCACACACTTTTGCAGTCTTTGTTCTCATGCTTGTGACAGAGTTGTATGAACTGTGCCTTTGTCTTCACGGTGCTGACTGGGACCTTCCAGGAGCACATACAGTATGCAACCAACTGAAACCCCTGGACTTCTCACAGGTGATCTTTATTTACATAAGATGTCGAAAACCATCTACATGTATCATGGTTTAGCTGTGTTCTAACAGGGGCGAGTAAAGAAAAGTGTTATATTCTGTATAATTTGTATTGTTTTGCTGTTTTATTTTCACTTTGACATTAAACAGTCTTTACTTGTTGACCATTGAGTCACATCAAATCCCTTTTAATTCGGTAATATAAATCAAAGAATCGTCAAAGTTTCCCATTGGGATTCTTTCTGTATAGTGCATAAAAACTTCCCAGCATTGCCCAATTGTTTGTTGTGCAACAAATACAAAATATACCTTTGAAAATATAGTGGCATTGTTTTCATCATGCTATAGTATTATGCACATCACTGAATATTTGCATATGGTTGGGTATATGTTTGTTTTGACATCATATTAGATTCATTTTGATCAGTCATACTGTTATGAAGCAGTTCACTGATGTTAAACTCTTCACAAGCATGCGGTGTGCGAGTCTATTTGCAGACTTCTCTTCTCAGTTTAGCATTTTCTGGTTTAAATTTTACATTTTTAAGTTACGTTTCCCCTATTATCTCTGAAATAGAACACCAACAACAAAGCCAATGAAACAAATCCTTCATGATAAGTTTGAATGGCTTAAGACTATCCACAAACATGAAATTCAGGTGTGACAACTTTGATCTGATGCTCTGGCACAACCAATCTATCAATAAAGAGAACCATGGCAGAGGATATTCACCCGAAAACATTAAACAGCACTGACGTTTCATATAACTAATGGGATCTTTTCTTAACTGGGCCTGTTCTTCTCGCAACAGAAGCTCAGACATACGTGTTGTGGACCTGCACTGTCTTTACATTTATTTAATAATTAAACAGTCTAGACCTGATGATGTTCACGACTGGAGACAATACGTTATTTATAAGAATAATATTCTCTCTGAGACGCTGAAAAAACACCCGTCTCCTGTCTTTCCCAACTCACATCATACATGTGGTAAATCAAGGACCCCGCTGGCTGTTTCCTCCCCATCCCACAGCCCACACGTGACTTTTAATTCCCGTGAAGTCTCAGAACATTTTCAGACAGACGTCCTGTTGTCCGGCCTGCACAGATGGGTCACCGACGCTGAATTTGCTTCAAAAGACAAAAGAGTGCTCTAACCGTAAAAGCAAAATTCTGAAGAAGTTGACCCCCTCACACCCAACCCCCATCACCCCCCTTGTCCCAGTGGTGAGGGGCGCGTGCGGCAAGTGTGCCTCTCAATTTCAGGGCAACGCTTGGCACAACGGTATCACAGCCTTCACATTTTGACTGGCTTTATATTTCCTATTTCAATTTGTGTAAAATAATTCACAGATAACGTATTAATCATAGCAAACGTTCATACTTTGTTGCGCCACAAAAGTCAAAGCAGTCAAACCTCATGAGTGGTGCAGGGTGGAAAATACATTTAAGTTTGTATAAGACAAACATGTTATTGGTCACACACTTTTGATTAGTGTCTGTAAAATCCAAAGTCCCTCTGCACAGCAGCTTGCTTTTGCATGGTGCTTTTATATTTGTAATTTTGACGGGGCTGCGCTTTTATTACGGGACGTTGTCACCATAGAAAAACCACAACTGCATGCGTTTTCACATTCTCATTATGCGTTTTTTATAGACTATTTGATGTTTGAGGGAGCCTAGTACTCGTTCAAAGAGATCATTGGTGAAAGACTTGTAAGACTGTGGTTCTCCAGATAAACATCTTTCCTCTCCATCAACAGAACGAGCTTTGTGTGCTGCCATCACCATACAGTACAAAACAAACGCTTCACGATAGCTTGGACGCTAAAATATCCAAGAGTCAAGCTAAAGGAGACAATTACATCACGGAGTTTCTAAACAGGGGGGCGAGAAAGGTTTCTTTCAGTTGGACACTAACAACATGCACCCATTAACAACATGCAACATGCAACCATGCAGATGGGATACCCACGCCAAAGCTGCGTGCAGATCAGGTGTCGTGCGTGTAAAGTTTAAAGACAAAGAGCTTGAATACATGTAATATCTCGTGTGTGTGTGTGGGCGTGCGTGCGCGCCTGTGTGGATGAGAGTTGATAGATCCATGGTGGGAACAAGAGGTTGGCTGTTGGATGCTGATGTCCATCTGGTCCCCGTGGCGCGTGCTGAGCGCGTGGTTCCCCTGAGTGCAGGGACATTTGATAAGTTGTCATGTCTCTACCGTTTTTATTTAAAATTGGAACATCTTAAGGCTGCTATTCCAAGTTTAAGTCATCCATCATAAGACACAGTGGTTGGTTACTAAATGGGCTACATCAAATGTTAGTCCACTGGTAACATTCAAAACGCCCAGCAAGTTTAAAACCAGGGCTCAATGTACATTTCGCAGTGGCTGTTGTGATTGAAAAACATGTTCCTTCACCATCCACCCTCTGTTTTTCATCCCCCAGCGCCCTGCACGAGGCGTTGGCAGCAGGGGAATACACCCTACAGGTAGAGAGCCCCCTTCGGGCAGAAACTGTATAAAAACGTCATATGCAAAACTATTGTTATCAAAATCTAAGAGCAGATGTTATTTGAAAATAGCGTGGCTTGGGTATGTGATTGGAATACAAGCCTGTATCTCTGTGGACAGTCTTTCCAACACGCAAGCCTGACCCCTATAACAGGAATGATTGCATTGCACCATAGATGTGAATATTTATTTAAACTAGAGAGCGTTGTGTAAATTATATGTAGTTAGTCTTGGGTAAATTACAGAAACAATACAATTCAGTAAAACCTCAGCATGGAACAGCAATAAGAAGGTTGTCAGACAAAGTAATAATAATGGAAACTCAGAATTGGCTGTTTCGATGAACATCATTTATAAGATCAGAAAGTAAATGAATGGTTTACAGCCTATACTGTGTTCCCTGTTACTTCTGAGCACTGCGTCATTACATATCAGCAACTCTTAATTCATGTTTTACAAACAAACCCACATATTTAATGTATTGTTTATGAAATAATGAACGTAATTGTTTTCTATTTAATATGGCGTAAATTGGATATTTTGCAGAATCTGTATTTGGTGAATTCGCAGTGGGTAATTCAAACGTTTAAGTTTCTTTACGCACAGATTTCTTCAGCTTCTTGAAGCACATTTTCTTTGTTTCGGTGTATGGACCCTAACGCAGTTGTTACGCTTGGATTAGAATAAAGGACAGATGGTTATCTTACTAAATTTGATGCTTTTATGTTTTTTTTCCGTCGAACGTGGCCTGTCCAAGTCTTCTCAAGTCAGCTTGGGGGCGTACCCATGACGCACGAAGACCGACGCCTCAGACCTGGATATATACCGCAGCCCCTAACCGTTAGAAACACATCTTCCCTTATTTCTGCTTTGGACACTTTTCAGACACTCACATTGTCTCCAAACATGATGTGTGAAGCTCGCCAGTCTTTTTCTCCAAGGTTAACTGTGGCCAAAAGAAGAGAGGCTCTTGAGCTCAGAAAGGTAAGTGAAGTCACTGAGTTTTGCTTCATTATCTTAAACATTTTGTTGTATGTCAAACACTTCATGTAATAAATGAATACTAAATATTATGTGTTCCTTTCAGACTATGAAACCTTTGATGGAAAAAAGAAGGCGGGCCCGCATCAACGACAGCCTGAACCACCTGAAAAACCTCATCCTTCCTCTCACAGGCAGATATGTAAGTTACTTTTCATTGTATGTAGAAAACACTTTTCAGGTATATTAAATTCAAGGCGGTGTTAAGCCCACGTGTTTCACGTTTGCTTTTCATTCATTTTCTACAGAAGACTTGTTACTCCAGGCTTGAGAAAGCCGACATCCTGGAGATGACTGTGAGGTTCCTCAGCGACATTCCCCCAGTTAAAACCAAAGGTGAGTTCTGGATCTGCTAAGCCATTTACTGATAAATGTATGAACAACGGAGTCTTGTAATTTTAGCACCGAAACTAACATTTAACTGTCCTTTTAGATTCCGCAGACAGCTACAGAGAAGGCTACAAAGCCTGCCTCCAGCGCGTCTCTGCTCTGCTTCCCAAAACGAGTATGGATCAAGACGCGTGCCAGCGGGTGAACGACTTCATGCAGCAGTCCATGATCGCCAATGTCACCCCAGCCTGTCTGAACTGCTACGCTCATAAGTCCAGGACTTTCCCCGAGGTTCAACAGAGACTCCAGAGCCTCAAATCCAGCGTCAGACTGGAGAGCCAGTCATGCAACACCAGCAGCGGAGCCGCCGGTGCGCATCCAGGCCTACAGCCTGTCTGCTCGGGTATGTGGAGACCTTGGTAGAGTCCTCAGGTTTGAGTGGCCGCGTCTCCCAAAATGTTTGATATAGGCAAAAATGATAATCTAGCATGACTTGGAAATATTCACAGTGATTCATTGCCTCGTTTCCGTTGATGAAAAGCCACATTCATCGTTAAATCGTATTGGTTGAGTATTATATACTTAGGTTTCGGCAACGACTGAGTTGTGTTATATAAAATGACAAATACAAGGCGGTTGTATTTTTTTAATCCACGTGTATCTGTACCTTAAATGTTTAGTGCACTTTGCAGACTAAGCGATGAAGGGCCATTTAAACAGCCCTGTAAGACCCAGAGGGTCAGTTTATGTATTTGCACCAACGGCGTCTGTGTCCTGGGCCTGATGTGCAAATGACATTTGTAGACATAATGTGTCACTTGAAGTATCTACGTTGATATGTTTTTTATTTTTATTTTTGCTATTTACAGCAAAGGTTGTATATATGTCCTATAAACACAATAAAACTGCGATGTCGTGGTGAGATCTTGTATTGTCCCTTTATTTACACTTTATTGTAAGAATACTGGTCTTTACTCTCGCGTAATTACGCATTAAGTGCTACATAATGAGAAAAAAGGAAAATGAAAATGTTTAGTTGACGCACACCAAGATGAACTGATGTATGTGATTTTCATTCAAACTGCAAACAGATAAAAGGTTTTCACAACAAATATTGCACAGGAAAGCACACACAAACTGTCGGGTGCTAAAATAACCTATTGAAA